TCATCTATAATAAATATTAAAAATCATCTATAATAAATATTAAAAATTATCTATAATGAATATTAAAAATTATCTATAATAAATAGACAAAATCATCTATAATAAATAGACAAAATCATCTATAATAAATAGACAAAATCATCTATAATAAATAGACAAAATCATCTATAATAAATATACAAAATCATCTATAATAAATATACAAAATCATCTACAATAAATAGACAAAATCATCTATAATAAATATTAAAAATCATCTATAATAAATATTAAAAATTAAAAATCATCCATTAATATTTTTATGTGGACTTACATAGGATGATCAAGTTTTTGAAAAAAATCCAAGAAAATAACCTTGGGAGCTTCCAGCATATTTAGCTAAATTAAATTTAAATTTTCGTTTTCTACTCCAGTCATGTTGTATTTCTGTTGTTATGATGTTATTTTTAACCAATCAAAGTGTGCCACAAGACAGATACTACACAACATGTTTTCATTGGTTAAAAAAAACATATTTTGAATGTGACTGCAGTTGAATACTTTTAAGATTACAATGGAGAGGAAATTAAAAAAAAAAAGAAACAGAATCATAAAATAGTTATATTTAGATTGCCTTCAGACCGATACAGATGTAATACAGATAAGTACCTACCTACAGAGACCTTCAGACCGATACAGATGTAATACAGATAAGTACCTACCTACAGAGACCTTCAGGAATCATCTCTAGGTTATTTTTAGCAGCTGAGAAAATCTCCAGGTTATGTAATTTACCAATACTGGCCGGTATTCCTTCAAAATCTAACTCGTTACAATTTACATACAATTTCTTTAATGATGATAATTTATGGAGGCTAGTCTGAAATTAGAATAACAAAGTTTGAGTAAAGTTTGTGGAAGAGGTTAAATAATTGAATCAACAATTCTTACTTTAAAGTAATTGAAGTGAGTTCATCTTGTTCTGTTAAAATATGTTTTTACATTAAATCTACTACCAAGATAATGGTTTTTGCAGACTTTAGACAGGGATCCTTTTTTTTAAAAATCAACATCAAAAATCCAACTCAAAGTCCACAAGGATATGGATGTAGAATATTAGAAGAGTGTAAAACTAAGATCTAGTGTTATACAATATAATCAAGATACCCAGGGTTCATGAGACACGTAAATTTAGAATATTAGAAGAGTGTAAAACTAAGATCTAGTGTTATGCAATATAATCAAGATACCCAGGGTGCATGACAAACGTAAATTTAGAATATTAGAAGAGTGTAAAACTAAGATCTAGTGTTATATAATATAATCAAGATACCTAGGGTCCATGACAAACGTAAATTTAGAATATTAGAAGAGTGTAAAACTAAGATCTAGTGTTATATAATATAATCAAGATACCTAGGGTCCATGACAAACGTAAATTTAGAATATTAGAAGAGTGTAAAACTAAGATCTAGTGTTATACAATATAATCAAGATACCCAGGGTCCATGACAAACGTAAATTTAGAATATTAGAAGAGTGTAAAACTAAGATCTAGTGTTATACAATATAATCAAGATACCCAGGGTCCATGAGAAACGTAAATTTAGAATATTAGAAGAGTGTAAAACTAAGATCTAGTGTTATACAATATAATCAAGATACCCAGGGTTCATGACAAACGTAAATTTAGAATATTAGAAGAGTGTAAAACTAAGATCTATAGTTATACAATATAATCAAGATACCCAGGGTCCATGAGAAACGTAAATTTAGAATATTAGAAGAGTGTAAAACTAAGATCTAGAGTTATACAATATAATCAAGATACCCAGGGTCCATGAGAAACGTAAATTTAGAATATTAGAAGAGTGTAAAACTAAGATCTAGTGTTATACAATATAATCAAGATACCTAGGGTCCATGACAAACGTAAATTTAGAATATTAGAAGAGTGTAAAACTAAGATCTAGTGTTATACAATATAATCAAGATACCCAGGGTCCATGAGAAACGTAAATTTAGAATATTAGAAGAGTGTAAAACTAAGATCTAGTGTTATATAATATAATCAAGATACCTAGGGTCCATGACAAACGTAAATTTAGAATATTAGAAGAGTGTAAAACTAAGATCTAGTGTTATACAATATAATCAAGATACCTAGGGTCCATGAGAAACGTAAATTTAGAATATTAGAAGAGTGTAAAACTAAGATCTAGTGTTATACAATATAATCAAGATACCCAGGGTCCATGAGAAACGTAAATTTAGAATATTAGAAGAGTGTAAAACTAAGATCTAGTGTTATACAGTATAATC